GTGATAATCTTGGTGTTAATCTCTGCTTATCTGGGTGATGATTGCTGGCAAGGAGATGTTCAAGCAGTAAACAATCCCTAATCAAGGAACTACCAAGAGGGAAAAAAACCCACTCCCACCGACACTGGCAGAGCAAGCTACTGTATATAGACAGAGAGCAAACCCCACACTCACCAGCACTGATGATGTTACCTAAGCCGGGCAACGAAAAGTTTGCAAGAAAACATCCAAGCTCAAGAGAACCCCAAGGACTCCACACCATTAGAGATGCTTGGATTTTTTTTTTTTAATGCCAATTTATGAATCTGCATTTTTCCATACCTAGAGAGGATCCTATTGTGAAGTGTTTGCTTGTCGTGAGCTGCCCACTGAGTTACTGAGAGCCAGGCGGCATACGAGCTTAATAATTAATTAATTAACCTCCCTTCGTAGAAACAACTTCTTAATTTTAAGATGGCTTGATCTGACTTTCAAACGGGTAAGCATTCTGGCACCCAAATTAGTATATTTTCAAAAATAGTTATTTGGGAAATACATGCCTCTTTTTCAGTTCCTCAAAGTATGTTACGAAATCTTAAAACGTCTTTGAATTTATAGCGTAGTTTGAAGAAAAACATCTTCCCTTCTTAGAAACTAAGGGCCAATTAGATATCACTAAATAAGTATTCTTAATAATTATTAATTATCTTAAATCCACCTTCAATTACCACAAATGAATGGACCACTAACAAACTACTTAAAAATGATTGTTCACTGTCCAGAGTCACTGGTTTGAGATGGGTGGCTACACAAATTGAATTGAATTAAATAAATAAATAAAATGGCAACATGTGGGCACAGGAGATGGGGTTTTATCACCTTTATTCCATCATTTTTTTTTTATTCTGTTAGAACGAATTCCCATGTCATAACAAATTGTTCTTAAAATTTGTTTAAGAATATTGTGGTTTCCAGTCTACCTGTTTTCAATACGGTTTAATGGGGGCATGGGGAGATTACACTGATATTCCTTTGGGTTCTCACACTAAGTATAAGGTATCCTGAATCTTGAACTTTATCGCTCTTTCTACAGCAAATTCAGGTTGCTGAGTGGTTCTGAGGACCAGAGCCAAAAGAATGATACTGAGAAACCTGAACATTTTTGAGTAAACTTCCTGCAGGATCAGGAAGCATAAGAGCAAACTAAACTCATCCAGGAAATATACTGTAATCCACAGTTGCAAGAGTTTCTATCCCATCCCTCTAATGAGTAACTTATAACTCATTCTCCTTCATGTTTCAAGACAAAGACATTCAAAATATCGGCGCGTTAGAATGATCTACCACTCCAGTTAGCTGTGGAACACATTCCAAGGGTAATGACCCATGTTCAGAAACTTCTGCCAACATTAAATAGTCAACCCAAAAAAGCTATTTTCAGCTACAGTGGGGCAAAAAAGTATTTAGTCAGCCACCAATTGTGCAAGTTCTCCCACTTAAAAAGATGAGAGAGG